AAAAAAAAAAAAAAAAAAAGGAGGCATGGAATCCAATAACTAGCCCTAAATCTGTCAGTAAAGCTGTGATGTCCCATGACACACCCTGGATCTGTACTTAAGGCCACTAAGTTCCCATGACCCTTCTGGGCTGCTTCTAAGGTCATTGATTTCCTTTTCAATCTTGTGATGTCATCTTAGGCTTCATCGGAAATTACATCATAAGAAGCACTGACCACTAACTAGGAACATTTGTGAAAAGCACTGCAGTGTCAGAAAGAGGTATGGTTCCATTTTCTAAATCAATCTTGTTTCTTCAACCGGCAAATTATCTAAACAAAGTAACTTCCTTTGTCATCTGCACAAAAAAATTCATTTTATGTGTTTATTGCTTGTTTATATTAACCAATTATTAGCCCATTTGCTTTGTTCTAAGATAGTTCTTACCATACTGTATTGTAACCTTTCCATATTTCTGAGTTATCACTCCTCTCCCCCACCAGACGATGAGGGGCTTGAAGGCAGGGCTATCTCTGAATCCATATATTGTGGGTCTCATTATTTGGGGATCACAGTAAATTCTATAAAAATAAATTAAATGCTGTTAAAGACAAGCAAAGCCATAATTTGTGAAATGAGCGGCTTAGACTAAATGATCTCTATCCCTCCAGGATTCATTACTTGATTGAAAGTTTTACAATTTTCTTTTTATGACCTAATATAAGTCATTGACTTGACTTAGTTATAAATAAACAATTGAACCTAAATACCAACATTACTAGGAAAGCTTATTTTGGTCTGTAGCACTGGAGAATTTATTAATGGGACTAATGACCATCTGTTTTCCATTAATTTATTTATCAGTTTTATTAGGCACCTTTCATTCAAAGATCTCGGAATGTCAAATTTATAATATTTAACAGAAAAACAAATAAATGATTATTCTGTGTCAAGATATGAATGTTTTTTAATCTTACAGTTAGCATTATGATTTAGTTCCTTCCTTAATACCTTAGGAAGTAACTTTACTTTAGGCTCTGAGGCTGGAAAGATTTTAAATGATACTGGAATACAAAGATAACTCTAAGTGGTTTTGAATGATAAATACTTTAAAATGACAAACTTGTTCATCATTCATTTATTCATTCACTCAATTAGCATTTATTGAGCACTTATGGTCAAAGTACATATGTCTTAGCCCTGTGTGACATGCCTTCTTATATATCAACCAGATGGTCTGTAAGGGAAGATAACATATGCATACAAATCATTGATCTGAAAGAAAAATTTACAGTTCCTTAGAAAGGAAAATGATAGAAATTACTTTGGAAGGAGGATGAAGAAAGTCTTAAAGTCTTTACACCCAAAAAGGGTGTAATTTGAGCTAAAGGGTGCGTAGTTTTTGCATATATCTAGATGGAGGAAAGAGTATTTCAGGAAAAAGAAATAGCATGAAAAAAGACAGGTGAGAAAACATGTAGCACATGTCCCTAGCATAGTAAAATAGTTGTTTCATTGAACTATAGGGTGTGCAAACGAGAAAAGTGAGAGAGAAGCTAGGAAAATTTAGTTGCAACTAGACTATAGAGAGCCTTAAATATCAGGCAAAGAAGTTTGGATTTTGTTCTGAAAGCCCTCAGGGACCATTGAAGGTTTTAGAACAGAATATGATATAATTGGAAGAAGCTCCAATATATGGAAATTTTTTCTAGGGTTTTTAGGAGGATGTAGTGAGGATTGATGGTGGTAGGAAAGACAGATGGTAATTATCTAATACCTTTCAAGTGTAGTTCTTAAAACAAAGCTTATAGCAAAAATCTCAACAGCGCCATCTAGTGCCTCATCATAACTGCCCAATTTGTGGAACCCTAGTAACAAGGCTAACAGAAGAAGACTTGATTAAGTTTAGGCAGTTTCCCTCTTTTCCACAATTGCACTTGAGTTCAGGGAACCAATGGTGAAAGAGGCAAGTAACCGGAAAGCAAACTAAGAAATAATGCAGAAGTTGGGAATAGTTGACTCATTTTTCTCTTTGATCTTAGATATCCACCCTCAGAATGATTCATCCTCAATTTTTTGTCAATATACCAACAGTTCTTGGTGCAAAATTATGACATTTTTTAATTAAAGGAAAAAATGAAGCAACTAGCCAAGTTGTTAGCAGTAGTAAACCTGGAAGTTATATCCCACCTACAACCACTACTATACCTGTTTGTTTCTGTATCTATAATTCAGAGACAAGATCAGTCCCTTCCATTGCTTGGAGTTCTTGCATGTTCAAGCAGTCTTTCCACCTTACAAACCCCAACTCTCTTTTACTAGGGAGAAACAGCTGTGTAAAAGGCCCAGAAATCAGACTTCAATCAAATATTATCCACCCCAAAAAAAAGATTATCCACCATATTCTGTATTGATGAGTTGCTCCCACTTTCTTAAAGAATAAAAGAATCTGGAGGAACACTAGAAATCATTATTTCCACATTGTCTCATCCCTAGATCTGTCTGATCAGAGCTTGTTTACTGACTTAATTGACTGTCTTGATGTAGCTTAACTAAGCTAGACCAAGTAACAACCTCTTGGTATAAAAGAAATGACCATGTATGGTTGAATAGTATGGTTTTGAGAGTGAGTCTAGGAAGAGAACAAAAATAAACAGCTACAACAATATCCTTACCCAGAATGTATATTTTAACTAGTTATGCTGCATCTTTCCTCAGAGCCTTAACTTATGGTGCAGATTTTTCAAAATGTGTTTTACCTCTTTGGAACTGTTTTCTCTCATTAAAACAATTAGATGAGGGGCGCCTGGGTGGCTCAGTTGGTTAAGCGACTGCCTTCGGCTCAGGTCATGATCCTGGAGTCCCAGGATCGAGTCCCGCATTGGGCTCCCTGCTCAGCAGGGAGTCTGCTTCTCCCTGACCCTCCCCCCCTCATGCTCTCTCTCTGTCTCATTCTCTCTCAAATAAATAAATAAAATCTTAAAAAAAAAAATTAAAAAAAAAAAACAGTTAGATGAGCATCAACCAGCAGATGTTACCTAGAAGCCTTCTTCTTGAACGAACCAAGCATTTTCACCCAGACTTTATTCTCCAAGAGAATTCAGTGCTCTTCCAATAGATAGATGATGATAGATAGATAGCTGTAGATAGATAGGTAGATGATAGATAGATGGATATTTATATTTATGAAAAACTACTATCCTTAAAGCTTTTATCTAATGGAAAAATTCAATTAAAAAGAAGATTTACAGAATAGTACTAGAGTAATATGACTTAAAGAAAAGCAGAGCTATTTTAGCTAGGTTTTAAAGATTAAGAGGAAGTCCATTAGGCAAACTTGGGTGGAAATGAGGGAAAAAGAGTTTTCTTGATGCCTATAGGATGCAAACTCTTCTCCTGGAGGCAAGGTGCAGCTGAATCCTTCTTTATTGCCCCACTACCTGTACTTCCTGCCATGGTCAAAAAGTATATATAATGACAATATAAAGTGAAATCTTAGTAATTCCTGTAATTTATTGTCTGATAAAAATTGACAAGAATTTATATATATATATGTATGTATGTATGTATGTATGTATGTATGTATATATTATAGGCACCAAGCAGACATTCCTAGAGAAACATGGATGGAGTCGGGAATCTGACAGTATCTTCTGCCAATAATAACACGTGCAATGACACTATTGATGACTTCCGCAATCAAGTGTATTCCACCTTGTACTCTATGATCTCTGTTGTGGGCTTCCTTGGCAATAGCTTTGTGCTCTATGTCCTCATAAAAACGTATCATGAGAAGTCAGCTTTCCAAGTATACATGATTAATTTAGCAGTAGCAGATCTACTGTGTGTGTGTACACTGCCTCTCCGTGTAGTTTATTATGTTCACAAAGGCATTTGGCTTTTTGGTGACATTTTGTGCCGCCTCAGCACTTATGCCTTGTATGTCAACCTCTATTGTAGTATCTTCTTTATGACAGCCATGAGCTTTTTCCGATGTATTGCAATTGTTTTTCCAGTCCAGAACATTAATTTGGTTACACAGAAGAAAGCCAGGCTTGTGTGTGTTAGCATTTGGATTTTTGTGATTTTGACCAGTTCTCCATTTTTAATGTCCACATCTTACAAAGATGAGAAAAACAATACCAAGTGCTTTGAGCCTCCACAGGACAATCAGGCTAAAAATCATGTTTTGGTCTTGCATTATGTGTCATTGTTTATTGGATTTATCATTCCTTTTGTTATTATAATTGTCTGTTACACAATGATCATTTTAACCTTACTTAAAAATTCAATGAAGAAAAATGTATCAAGCCGTAAAAAAGCTATAGGAATGATCATAGTTGTGACAGCTGTTTTTTTGATCAGCTTCATGCCATATCATATTCAACGCACCATCCACCTTCATTTTTTACACAATGAAACTAAACCCTGTGATTCTGTTCTTAGAATGCAGAAGTCAGTGGTCATAACCTTGTCTCTGGCTGCATCAAATTGTTGCTTTGACCCTCTCCTATATTTCTTTTCAGGGGGGAACTTTAGGAGACGACTGTCTACATTTAGAAAGCATTCCTTGTCCAGTGTGACTTATGTATCTAAGAAAAAGGCCTCTTTGCCAGAAAAAGGAGAAGAAACATGTAAAGAATAATTTAAACCCATTTCCAATGAAAATTAATAGTTTCCCAAACAAGTATTACCTCAAATTATCTACAATAAAAATGAGTATTTCCATTAATAATTTACAAATACTTAACGTATGCCTATAAATAGATCTCATTTATGAATCCACACTGTTACAGGTCCTAAAGATATTTTAAGTGTTAAAAATTCAGTCCACAACTATTAACTAAATTATAAGTGGTTTTTTGATCATTCACTGAAAGGTGAAGAATATTTTTGTCTTGGCATTGTAAAAAAATGGATCTGAGACCAAATAAAAGCTTCAGAAAGGATAAGAACTAGCCCTTTAAGATACAATCATCCTAACATATTCCTTTGCATGCATGCCATCAGATGAGAACTGGAATGACCCAGGAGCTACATAAAATGTCCTGTCACCCTCTTCCTTTGAAGTATTGACTGACTAGGCAAAGTAAGGCCATTTCTTCCAAAACAGAATATGCAAGTGCTAGAACACCTTAGTATCCAGCCAAATGGCCCTAAAGACTCCATGCAATGTGCAATTGGAAACTGAGGAATATGAACTTGGTCAAAAGCCAGTTTGTGTCCAATTTTCTTCTGCTCCTGACCCAGACCCTCAAAAGAGAATGGTGGAGTTTTTGTTGCTTACTGAAGTTCTTACAGGGAGTTCTCTCCCTACATGACATACAATCTTCCTTAAGAACCAGACAACTGACGCTCCCGTATATGAATAGAAGTAATTTAAACTTTATCTAAAGCAGAGGGAAAGGGTTCTGCTTTTCTACATGCTTATTATTGGGATCAAAACTAGCTACAGTGGGTTTCTGAATAAAATTTGAATGTTGCTATTACAAGTTGTTTTAATAAGTATTTATATTTATATAACTATGTCAGAGATTTTGTTCCATGATATGCATTTATGAATGGAAGTTAATTACAAGTTTTATTATTATTTTATACTTTTTCTTCTCTATTGGCATGTTGACAGGAATATCAAGATGTTTACAGTGGGTTTTATATTACAGTGGAAACTTTGTTCTTAAAACACAACAACTTGATTATGGCTGAAATATAATATTCATGGGCAAGCTTTTGCTGAAGTGTGGTCTGTTCCTTTATTCTGTGTTTCAAAAGGCACATTACCTCAGAGGAAATAAATGATAATGGTGAAGAAAAAAACTATGAAAGGATTCTATCTGAATCTGCCATGTGTATGTTATTTCTATTTCACTTCTAATGTTGCAACCCCTTAGGAAAACACTCAAAACAAAAAGAAAGAGGACCTCTAAGGCATAGTATAACTAACTAGTGCCCATTTATTTTTAACATACCTGAGATTTGGCAGTATCTACACTTTTATCCTATACCATTTTTTCCTTGTTTGAGGTGAAGATCAAACATAACATCTATCAAAACATTCAGTCCTCATTTCTCGTGTTCTAAGCTTTCTGCTACTCAGTAAGTATAGTGTGATAGAAGAGCACTAAATTGAAAGCTAGAAGACCTGGTTGCTAATCGGGTCTCTATTACTTACTAGTGGTGTAACTTTAAGCAAGTGACATAAATTCTGATCCTCAGCTTCCTCATTTGTAAAATGGTAATAATAATACTTGTCTTGCCTTTTTTTACCGGGCATTTTTGAAACTCAAATGTGATCATAACATACACACATATATTAACATATATGTTAAAGTTTTACCCTTAAATAATTTTAAAGTACTTATAGATGGTTTTGTTACTTAAATATACTGATTCATACTTACAACATGGATTCTAAATTTTTAAAGATTTAAACAAAATATGGGCATAGTTAAATTCTAATGCACATAAAAGAACCTTTTGTCTTACTTATTCACACTTCTAGGTGTTTTCCTATGTTCTCACTTCTGCTAGCAGTCCCACTTTCTCCCACACAGAAGCATACTGACAAGCTAACCACAAATTTGTTGTTATCCTTTACATCATTTATGTTTATATCTTATATGAAACTGTTTAATACTTAATTATTTTCCAGTTTTTTCATATGTGTAAGTATTTTCTCCCAAAGTGGAATCATCACTTTATGGAATTATCAATTCCTTCAGGTTAAAAACTATGCCTTTAAATTATGGTACCTAACGATTAATGAGCTTTTATTCTGTTTTAAGTGTTTTATCTGTATCACCTCATTTAATACTTATAATTGTTCTGTAATATATATACCATTCTTATTCCTATTTTGCTGATTTAAAAACTGAGGCACAAAGAAATTAAGTACCTTGCCCATTGTCAGACAGCTAGTAAGGATCAGAACTAGGATTCAAATCTAGGCAGTCTGACTCCAGAACTCAATTTCTTAATTTGCTATGCTATCCTGCTGGACCATTTTCTACCTTCAAAATAAGAAGTAGAAGTGAGGGGTTTTTTTTCAATGATTTGTTTATTTTACAAAACAGGTTTAAATAAACTATATGCTTAATTTTTTAAATACATGAACACAGGAACCATGAACTAAAGCTTATGATTTTATTTGGAAAAACATCTTAAGAATATTGTATACTATCCTAGAATATTGACATTCGAAGGACTTTAATGTTTATAATTTCTAATGTCTATATAATACCCTGTGGCATTCCCATGCCACAGTCTTCACACACATTCCTTTGGTTTCTAACAGTCCTTTGAAAACTCATCAGCTATTCAAGCTCATTTTCATTATACACTTGGCTTCTTTATTTTGTTCAGCCAATATAGGTTCAGTACCTCAAAAAATAATTTCAAATATTAAGGCAATGCTTTGTATTTTATTCTACAGAATAAACATAAATGGTTTTGTATACTCATCTCAAACTGTAAACTTTGGTTTTCTTTGTTTTCAAAATCTCCTGGCTTTCACTCTAATAATATGATTTTTCATTTTTAATTGACTTTTAATGGTCTTTTGAGATAATTAAATATATACCTCAATATCTAACTTTACTAATGCTTTAGAAACTCCAACAGTGAAAAATTCAGAAGCTTGAAAGGTGAGATTGGATTTCAGAGCAATGTAAATTTGTGGGCCCTTTTTAGTAAGCACCACTGCACTAGAGGTATGAAAAGAAGCTCACTTATTCTATTCTTCTTCATGTGCATAACCTGGGTTAGATTGCCTTTTTCTGATACTAAAGGAGCTAAATGGGAGAGAGCTTGGGAAGATGGCAGAGTAGGAGGATCCTAAGTTCACCTCATCCCATGAATACAAGTAAGTAACAGCCACATCAGTGCAACCAACCCAGAAAATGACCCAAAACTGACAGAACAGACTTTTCACAGCTAACTGTAGAGAGGAAGCCACATCAAAAATGGTAGGAGAGGCAGAAACACAGTTGGGAACCAAACTTCTGGTGATACTAACCACAAATGGGAGGGATACCATAATTTCAAAGAAGGGAGAGGAACAGACCCCAAACTAGGCACCCCAGACATGAGGGACCTTCAATGGGAAGACAAGCCCACATAACATTTGGCTTTGTAAACGAATGGGACTTAACTTCATGAGTTGTTATGATAAGTGGGGCTTGACTTCAGGTACTTTAAAAATCAGCAGGCTCAGCTCTGGGAAAGCTGGAAGGTGATAGGAAAATGAATCCCTACCCTTAAAGAAACAACATTATAAACAACTCTGGCAAGATACAGCATAGAAGCAGCAGGTTGAAAAACACCTGGGTATAGGAAAAGGAGATTTATTTACTAATCTGAGAACTTGCACTTGAGGGTCAAGGATCTTTAAGAGATTTATCCAAGAACAAACAAGCTGACAGGTGCCATTTCTGTAACCCACCCTCCAACCTAGAAAAACAGATACCTGCAGGAACCAGCATAAACACTTGCCACATAACTTGCTAACACCAAGCTCACCACATCCATGGTCCCCTACAGATTTGCCTCTTCCAACCCAACCCACTTGGAAGGAGTTCCTCCAAAGTGGCTCTGGTCAGTTCTCATTCTATAAGCCCCAGTAGTAACTAGCACCACTCCAAAGTGATACTTGCCCTCCCTGGAAAGAGGGGAAGATAACATCCCACACCAGTATAACTGCAGCCCCAGTAGTGGTCTGGGAGAAGACATCTTAACTGACTGTTGGCCCTGCCCACCAAAAAAACCTCAGAGAAGGAAACATAAGGAGAGAACCCTGTAGTTCGAGATCATTGAAAACTCAGCAGATGGACTGGGGCAGACAACTTGTCTGACAGCAGGACCTGCCCACCAAGAAAAGCCTCTCAGGAGATGACACAGCAATAGTACCCTGCAGTTCAATGCAATCCAAGCCTCAGCAAATGAGCTGAGGGCAAACTTCTGGTCTGATACAAATATAAGCCCAAGGTGCCCCAGACTGGTCCCTTAAAAGCACAGGGAAAAACCATGTTTGTAACAGCAAAGAGGACCATTGCAGCTGACTGAACTGAAGGCAAACACAACCAAACAGGAGGGCACATGAAACACACATAGGAGACACCACTGAAGCACCTGTTTCTGGTGCACAGGGAACAGGGCACTACAGGGCACTATAGGACCTCTTCTTCCCAAGGCCAATAGTTTCAATATCTGGAGACATGGTTGATTTTTTAAATACATAGAAACAAACAGAAAGTTAGACAAAATAAGGAGATAGAAGAATATGTCCCAAATGAAAGAAAAGGGGAAAAAATAGAGCCAAAAACCTAAATGAAACAGAGATAAGCAATATACCTGACAGACAATTCAAAATAATGGTCATAAAGATACTCACTGGACTTGAGAAAAGAGTAGAGGATCTCAGTGAGACATTCAACAGAGATAGAAAATATAAAAAAGAAGCAGAGATGAAGAATAACAGAAATTAACAATGTATTAGAGGAAATAAATAATAGACTAGAAAATGCACAAGATTGGATCAGTGAGAAGGAAGACAAAATAATGGAAAGCAATCAAACTGAACAGCAAAAAATAATAATAATAAATTAAAATAGGTTAAGGGAAGTCAGTGACATCAAGTGTAATAACATTTGCATTATAGAGATACCAGAAAAGGAAGAAAGAGAAAAAGGGGCAGATAATTTATTTGAAGAAATGATAGCTGAAAAATTCCTTAATGTGGGAA